GGTTTTTTCCATTTTATAGATTGCATAACAGCTAAAATCAAGGTTTTTTATAGGTTATATATAATTTGAAGTAACCGAGTCCTTTAGGGCATTCAAAAATTAGACGAAACACGTTGAAACTCAAAAAAAACATGTTTATCATGGTTTTTAAGGGCTTTAGCAAATTTTAGCAAAAAAGCGTTTTTTTGAGATCGATACAACCTGAATAAATTTTTTGATATTTTTTTTCGTTTGATGTTATTCAAAAATAAAACTCAACGCAATTTTAGCCCGCTGCTCTAACCCCCAAAACGTCATTTTTTCGTTTTAATTTTTTTCCCGGAGGGTTTCAATATATTTAAAAATTTAAAAAAAATCACACGTGTAGTTGGGACTTTTACAAAACTTTTTTTAACGATCCGTAGGTTGAGTGTACATCAGTGTACTGCAGCCATATCAAAAAAATATACACTTTTAATTATTCCACCTAAAAAAAAATTTTTTTTAGTGGTAGGGGTGACGGGTTAATATTGCCCTGAGTCTTATTTTTTAATCACATAAAAAGTAAAAATTTTTAAAAATTAAACGAGACACTTTGCCTATCTTAATGGGGTTACCAAAATGTCAAGTTTCGATGGTTGCTACAGTTATACACAGGTCATACTGAAACTAATTGGAATATTATTCATGATACCCATTCCAGAGATAATTCGCTTATAAGTTGTATCGTTATAAAAGTCACATGTCATGTGTTATTTTTCTTCAAATATAAATTTTGTTCAAATTTCTTTTGAATTTATTCGTTTGTTAACTTTCTGTTTTGTTTTACTATTTTTCTTCTAAAAACGTGGCGCTTAACTGTCACTATTTTTCAATTTAAATTTTCACTTATGTTAGTTTAATTTACTCTTTATATGTCCCCCGTATACTCTTTCTATACCGTATACTAACTTCCATCTAGTTACATCTAGCTGCTCCAAAACTTCTTTGTCTTCTGCTTCCTATTTATAGGCAATTCTGCTTGTTCATTGGCGGACTAATACCTATGTCGAAGGTTGTCCATCTTTTGCGCGGTCGTCCGATAGTTCTCCTGCCGATTGGTGACTTATTTCTTGCTATTTTGATGATACGGGTTTTCTCCATTCTGCTTGTGTGGTTATTCCATTTTTTTTTATTTTGTGTCCATTCATTTATGCAACGTACGTTACAGTTTCTTATTCTTTTCTTATCTCGACGTATTTTCTGTAATTTTTCTCTGCCGTTTTCAGTAGCCTTTGTCTTATGGCTGTGTTGGGTTTGGTTTCGAAGGCATACGTTATTATTGGTCTTACAATGTCTTTGTATTCTTGACTTCATCTCAGTGTTAATGTGTCTGTTTCGCCATATAGTATTATTAAGGCATTCTGGCAGTATTCTGCTTTTTGTACTTGACCTCTCACTTCTTTGTCCAGGTCTCCATACAGTATAATTCCAAGTGGTATTTTATTTCCATTACATGTTCAACATGTATGCCATCAATTTCTATTTTACATCTGGTTGTTTGCTGATTACTATTGTTTTAGTTTTCTGAGATGAGATCGTCAAATTAAATTCTTTTGCTCTGTGGACCAGTCTTTGCAGACTATCTTTATCTTGGGCTATCAATATTGCATAGACTCAAGAACATAGGACTCGATGAGTCTTATTCCGCTCCCTATTTTTATACGTTCTGTAAGTTGTTGTTGCTGACAACTGACAGAAAACTTCTTTGTGTGTTGGTTATTCTGCTCGTCAATGTCAAATCTCATTTCAAACTAATTTATTGAAGTAGGAAAACTGTTTGTGCATTTAAACAAAAATTTTTGTTCAGAAATACATTTTATGTCTCAATGCTCTATTTGTGTTAACTTTTAATATTTTACAAACATTCAGTACTCTTTTATAATTTCAATTTAAGATTTTTTATCATATCATATCCTATCTATAAAGGCCGGTTTTCACGCTACGTTTTCTTGTACGTTTTGTGGATCATATAAAACGTATACGTTATGTCCAGTGTATACACACTACGTTTTCCTTTCCGTATTCTACCTCATTTCTAATTCAGAGTCTTAAGTTGTGTGAAGTTTCTTTAGTAATTTTTTTATTATCGAGGAAACACGGCTGTTATTTTTTATTTTTCAACTATAACGGTACTACGACTGAGAAACAGGGGATAAAGAGGGAAAAGACAAGATGGTCAAGAGAGTGGCTTCTGAGAAGAAGCCAGTATTCCCACGTCTCGTTACTAAAAGAACTGAGAGACGAACCAGATGACTGGCGCAATTATTAGCGAATGAACACTTCAATTGCTAGAGTTGGTAACACCATATATATTGAAACAAGTCACCTGCATGAGAAAAGCCATTATACTCAATGAAAGATTCTCAGCAATCATCAAATATCTTGCAACATGACGCAGCCTCAAGGACTTGGGAGTTCACAACTATAATATTCAAACCAGCGTAAAGCCAAATAATTCTTGAAACCTGTAATGCAATCTACTTGGTTTTAAAATAGAACTACTTAAAAGTAAGTACATAATAAAAGAAAGTCGTATGTATATTGCCGCAAATGACATTAGGCTTTTTTGGGAAAAATGAAGCGAAGTGCAGTGGAGCTAATCGTCAACTGAGTCAAGATCGAACGACTTGTCTGAACATGTATTTTCACGTAACGTTTTATCCTATCAGTTCTCATAAAACTATGCTTCTCTCATCATTTCTGCAATCTGACCTTGGATTTCATTTCGATTCGACAAGACGTACGTTTTGCTGTTTACATGACAAGTTTTAATGTATAGGATTTGTCCTATACAACAAAACGTACAATAAGATGTAGCGTGAAAACCGGCCTTCATTTAAACGTTTTAAAGGATATGCAGATAGAATTTTTATTGTGTCGTTTTGTTGTTAAACAATAAGCACCCAATGATCTAGGTGGTTGCCTTTTTGTTACAAAGTTCCCAAAGTTGTTCTAACTTCGTTATTAATATATTTTTATAAAATTTTAATCATAGCTATTTCTATGCACGCTGCGGTCAGTCGGGTTTAATTTTTTACTTTAGTATGTAATATTTTCTTTTTTTTTGTAAAATGCAGTTATTGAACTAATTTTTTGTGATCTATGGTGATAGGTATGGCTATGTTTCCCTTAATATAACATAGTCACTTTTCTTTTAAGGTCATGGTCAATATATGGATTTTAGATTGTTATTGAGGGGTAAGACTCAGGAGCGGTGGTTAAGGTTTTAGTCGGAACACGGTTAATCCGGCACTACCTTGAAGTCTCGTGAGTAGTGTCATACTCAGCCAAAAGATGCCAGTGTATCGATTTCCCCCACAGCTGCCTGTCAGAATTCAATGGATGCCTTTTTAGGCTCTTACTGGAGTCTGGCAATACGGCGATAAAAAAATAACTTTATTTATCGTAGCATGAAAATTTTTAAATTTTGTCCCGAAGTACCTCGTCTATTACTTGACATTAAACAAATTGGTGGGAATCGGTTCAAAATTTCAAATTTTACAGGGGTGATTAGTAGATTAATATGTTTTGTTGATCTGTAGTACACGTTTGACTTCTAGCAAAATAATCCAATAATTCTGAACCAGAAAGTTTTTTTAACATAATGTATAATCATAAACAGTAAAAATGACTTCTTTATTACAGCCACCTAAATGCTTTTCCTTAAATCAGCTTTTTTAAAGATGCACCCTTATTTCTACTAACATACAGGATGCAGGTATAAAAAGTTAAGCCAATTAGTCATCCTGTATATCATGTTTTACTATGTTTCTATTACAATATTGGATACAATTTTGGAAAATTGTGAAAGATGGTTATTTAATAACTGAAATAATTAATGGATAACAAATGAAGGTTATTTTTTTGTTGGGTACTTTGGTTCGATTTGGTATTAAATTTATTTCCGCTTAAAGTACTAAAGTTTTGTGTGTCGAGCATGATATATCCCTTTAATTTTCTAATTGTCCATCAGTATCATTCATAAACACTCCCGATGTGGCTATATAGAATGAAGTTGAGTTATCCAAGAGCTTTCTTCAAAGTTTTACCCAATTAAATTTGAATTATGCGGGTTTGCATGCTTCTGGTGCCTCAACTCACTTTATCATTAACCCACGCCTTTGTCTATGTATTTTTTGGTTTGAACAGTTTTTAAATCAACAAAACAATTTGACTGAAATATCTTCACATGTGGAAAGGATGTCAGAAGAATAAATGAGTGAACAGAAATCTCCAGCTAAGTAGGACAATGTGCTTCTTTAGTATTTTCGAATTTTGCCGAGAAACAGTTGATATTATATGGAAATAGTTAATGTATATAGAAACGGTACGAAAATGAGAATGTACACTGGTTCTTTCTAGCTGGCGCGTGCTGTAGTTTCATGATTATTTCAACAACGAAACCACCCCTCATCATTATATATTCCCTTTCCATACTCTATTCCCAATATATCTTTCTATTTCATCTATCTATCCAACTTCTCTGTCTCTCTATATATCTCTTTTATTCCTCTATTTACTTTCTATATCTATCTTCATTCAATGTGTCTCTCTTCTCCATCTATTTATCTCTCTTCTTAACTTATGTTTTCTTCTCTCTATCTCCCACTCTTCATACCTCGCTTTCCATCTCTGCCTCTCTCAATAGGCGTAATTTGTTTGTTTTATAATTCTTTATGAATACTTTGTTTTTAATAAAATTGTATGACACAAAAAGTTCAAGAACAAAGTTATGACAGTAAAAAATAAGTAATAAAAAGTATATTGAACAAAAAATTTAATGAACTGTTTAAATCTACAGTTAATTGCCTCTAATTTAGCAAATAATTGCATTAATGTGAAATCATTTGGAAGATATTTAAATCAAAATAATATTCGAGTTTTCAAATAGGTAAGTGTTTTATGAATTATATATTTCTTCTTGGTTACATTTTATGTCCTACCAAGACCGTGTGAGAGAAAAATAATGAAACCCAATTGCAAATAAAATGTCGTATGTATTTCTTTTCAATCACATTTTACAACCAACAAAAAGATTACCTTCCATCCTAAACTAACTCGATGAAGTGCTATCATAAACTTTAATCCACTTTTTTAGCAAGTCTCGTCTTTCGGCATTAATTCAACTGCAATAGACTACAAAATGTGGTACCACAGGAATAGTTTAAACCTACAAATCTCTTCAAAATGAATGAGACCCCATCAGACATTTGCTTATTTTAAGTTCCTAAATTTGCCGTAAATTTTGATTAATTACAACACGTTTTTTACGTGTTTGTTTATATATTTTTTGCAAATATTCTTCACATAGACCACCCTTTCGTGTATAGTGACGATTTTGTTGACCACTGCAGTTGAGCAGAGCAGTTTAGAAAGTAAAAAAATCTATGTCGGCACTTCACTAGCTAAGTAAAATATTTGCTGACACAATATAAACATGTCACAGGTACTATCAAGCGAAAATTTCCACAAAAATCAATAAATAACGAACTCATATGTCTAAATAACTATACAAACTAAGATATACCGTTGGGTTCACTATTGACAGCGGGGCTTAGTTGAGAACTAGAAGATGCTCCTCTTCCGTGAGAAGTTTCGTATTCCATAACCTCTTGGTAAATAAGTTCTTTCCATTGTTCAACTGTGTGCTCCCTCTCATCCACGCTGTGGTCGTATGGACCAGGAGCAGGCTGAAAATATATTTATGTGGTTAATTGGAGCGCTATGACATTTTATAATACAGATATAAGATTTACACTTCTGTAAGATTTATTTCATATAGAAATACAACAAGTATCGTAATATTTTACATTTTTAATACGCTTCGAAATAAGAATGTTGATTATTTTAGGGAAAGTGTTTAAAACCGTACCTAATACAGCCAAAATATGAAAAATGCCATACGGGCAACTTTCTACCATAAATACTCAACCGATGAAAACCATCAACATGGTAAATGCTCAGGTGGCAAATATTCTTAATGTGCATTATTGTGTTGTTGAAGCCAATAATACATTGGACAGTTTTGAAGATCCTCCAGCTTTTCTGGTCTCAATATAAAGGTAAAGAAGATAAAGTTTATGATAATTATCAAGAAAAATATAACAGAAGGTCAACTCTACATCAACCAAACGCCAGAAGAAAGAGTAACGCACTAAAAATATCTCGTCTCCATAATAGATTAAGAATGGACCAAAAACCAATAGATAATAGCTTCGCGTTAATGTATGATAACATCGCTTTAATTCATGCGATTGGTAAATCGCTCTAAAGGTCATGTTCGCAAGGACAAAATTCTGCAGTGTGTACCTTTTATGAAGATTTAAAATCACTATTATGTGTTATGAAAGTAATGGAAGTTTTAATTGGCAATCTGCAGCAGTGAATTTCCCAAGGCAACGTCATGAGGCGCGTATTACAACGCAAATCAATGTTCTCTTGAAGCTTCAAAAAGCAGCAGGTATCGCTAAACAATGAAAGATACTTTTAGATTTTTGTGAGTTAAAAACACATTTTCCGACCTAAATTGTAGCGTTTACGCTACTGATTAACCCCTTAAGAAATTTTTATTACCCGCCTACGATCGATTTTAAATCGACATTTTTCCCGACACGCGCTGTTATCGCTTTGAAAGGAAGATCGATTTTATGCGGAAGCGGAACGATCAGTTTTGGTCAGAACTCGTTAACGCAGACACGCCAACCGGTGAAATTTTTTCACCTTCAAAGTGACGGAATTGGAGCAATAAAATAATCTGGGACGAATAAAATAATACCTAATTTAATAATCATATCATAAAAATAATAATAAGTAAATTTTTAAAAATCAAGATTTCCTAATAAAAGAGTTCCACAGAAAAGGAAGATTTTTTTGGCGTGTTGCGGTTCCATGTAAGTAAATCATTTCATACCTATTATCTCTTTATCATATAATCAAATTTATCATTGTATTTAGTACTTCTTTAGAGATTTATTTTTGAGTTCCGAAATAATTTAAATATAAAATTTCCTTGATTTACTTGCAAAGAACAGAAGGTCATTTTTTTTATATAGTTAAACTTAAATTCTGTTTTATTCCATGTCGTTACCATTAAGTTTTTTTTGGTTTTTTTTTTTACCTAACTTTTTTGGTGGAATATAAAAGGTTCTACAAATGTGGACAGCCTTCTATATTCTGCGCATGTTCTTTTCATGGCGCAAGCTTGCCATGCCTACGAAAGTAACTTCATAAATTTGACATGATGTTGACTTAACCTAATACCTGATATTTTGATGTTTTGTTTTGGTGCAGTCAATCCATGCTGCTACACCTATTGAATTGTATTTATTAAATTAAATAATAATTTTAGATTCCGTCACTTCACTTGAGGATATTCTCTTCAGAATATTCCCTCAAGGACTAGTAACTAAATTCCTTAAACTAGTTAACAACTTGTGTATGTAACCCGTGGATTTTGCTGTCACAAAGAGACCAGTGACTGGTTGTGGTTTTGTGCCCAGGATTCGTCTTTACAGCCATAAACTGATGTAACCGTGCCAAGAGGAATTTTCCTATGGACTTATGGGCTGTAAAGATAAGTTGTTTGACTGTTTAATTGTTTAACTTTTGTTACTTCCTATTTAGTAGTATACCCTCTTCATATGCATATGACAAGGTGAACATTTTTTTTTGATAATTTAATTATAAAATATTGGGGAGAAGAAAATACATTACATGTTTTTATTAGGTTTTTTTGTTAACTAAGGATGTAAAGGGTTTGACCAAACTCATTTTTTTGATATAATATTTTTTTTTGATACAATACAATTTTGATTTTGGGAAGGGAAATAAATTTCATGTGGTTTTTTTTTTAAAACATTATATAAAGAGTATTGAAGACTCACTTTTTGGATATAATATAATAATTGTAACAGAGTTATCATTGTTGATATCTGTACAATACAGTAATTATTTCTCATATTAGTAGAACTATTTTAAGTTAAATTACTACCTTTTTGTGTTAAGACTTTGGCTACAATACGGACTATTCTTGTTGTTTACTGACATTTTATACTTTATTTGGCCAGTGGTAGTGATTATTCGTTTGTTGAGGGGCTATTAGGTCCCACTGTATGTGTACACCATCCACTACCACTGTTATTTGGCTTTGCATTATATGTAAATTGTTTATACACATATACCTATATACATTTTTTATAAATATATTTATTGTTACTATTTTGAGTTTTATTTCAGTTCTACTAACCAGTATATAACATAGCAAAACAAGATTATTATTTAGTATTTTTGTATTTCAGAGTATTATCTCCAGATTCATTTGTTACTTCAAAATCTCAACTATCGTTGAGTTGGCGCCCTTCTTTTCTCTTCTTATTGTTCCCTTTCTATAAATTTATTCCCAGTGACCTTCTTCAGTTGTATCACGTTTGATATTCCCAGGTCTCATTTCTTTCTTGTCTCACTAGCTCATTATCTCTTGTTATTGTTGTTTATATCTTTAAAGCCACAATCCAGTGCATTGAAGCTAGCCCGAACACTCACTTGAGATTTAGTGTCTCTTTGGCCATTTAAATTTGTTCCTCTGAGCTTAGCCCTATTTTTAGTATTTTTTTTTTTCATCACTTCTCTTTCAGTTCTTCTGAAATTTGGAAGTTCTACACCTCCAAAAACCCAATACTCCCGGAGTATTGAGCGTTTCAAAATGACACAATTTAACGAAAATGACTTGCCTGGTTTGGCTCAAATTTTAACGAATTACTTAGATCACGTGTAGGTTCATATGAATTGGGATTGTAAAATTTTAAACAGATCGAAAATTTTAAGAGTACGCCATTTTTTTTTTTCAGTCAAAATGATTACTTAATGCTGGTTTGTGCGATAACATATTATCTTTGATTTTTTATTTCCGATGTTCCTAAATGTACATCAGCCAGAAACAAAATCAACTTCGAGGTTGCCTTGTGACCCCCATATACGAGCCAAAACATCAACATTTTTTTGTAATATTAAATAAATAATATTATCATATGTAAAAAAAGACAAAAGGTAAACATATTTATGTATTAAAAAGAGAGCGTGGCACTTGGAGAGTACTGTCAGTACCTGTTATTACTAAATGTAGGTTAAACAAATTTTATGTCTGATTATTAATGAATTTTGAACAGTTTTTATAAAAATACTACACCTTTACGTTTTTTAAAATTTAAAAAAATCTTAATTTATTTGTAGTTTTGTTTAATGATTTTAGTAATTTTCAAAATTTGTTAAATATAATATATAATTTATTCATCATATACATTTTGATTATTATCTTGTATTTAGGTATGCTTAATTATTTCATGTTAATTATCATTATATATTCTAAAAATTATCATGAATAATGGGAGGGTATATTAATTATTTTCATTTAAAACTTTCCATTTGTAAATAATTATCTATAAACAACTATAAAATTTCTAAAATACACTTTTGTTAATTCATTTTATTATTATTTTTTTATTTTTTATAATTATTTATAATGATTTTATCTAATATTTTATAAATATTTATACATCTTGTATAATTTTATTTAATTTTATTTTATATAATTTTTATTTTTTATAATTTTTAAAATTTTTTATTTTTTAAAATTTTTGTAATTATAATTTTATTTAAGTTTTTTGACATTTTATTTAATTAATTTTATTCAATTTTATTTTATTTCATTAAATTTAATTTAATTTTTCAATGTTATAATTTTTATAATATTTTACAATTTTATATAATTTTTGTGTAATTTTTTTTTTCGAATTTCTTAAAAAAATTTATAATTTTTTATAGTTTTTTATAATTTTATATAATTTTATTTAATTCTATTTAATTGTATGTAATTTAATTTAATTTTGTTTAATTTATTTTAGGTTATTTCATACAAATATTTTAAAGAAAAAATTAGCCAAATCGGTCAAGTCGTTTTCGAGTTTATAAAAAATATATTATATAAAATTATGAAAGTGTATATGTATGTATATTACGGTATACCACAAGGTTACTACACAAATAGGATTTCGGTCCCGTGCAAAACATCATACTAAGCGATAAGAAGTATTCACTTCAAAAAATGAAAAAGAACCAGACTACCCTTTTAGACACGCAGTAAAATCTTAGAAAGATGGAAAAGCCACCGGTCCAGACAATATCAATGTCGAAATACTAAAACTAATTGCAGATAACGAAAGTAAAAGCCTAGACTTATTAACAGCACTATTCAATAAGATATATGACACAGGTAAAATACCAACAGACTGGCTAAAATCAACATTCGTAGCATTACCAAAAATATCGAATTCCTCACAATGCGATGATTATCGAATATTAAGCTTGATGTCTCATGTCCTTAAAACTTTTTTCAGAATAACACATACACGAATTTCCAAGAAGTGCGAGTTTCAGATGAGTGACACTCAATTCGGATTTCGAAACGGATTGGGAACACGAGAGGCTCTGTTTGTTTTAAATGTGTTAACGCAACGATGCAGAGACATGAATGTAGATGTATATGCATGTTTTATTGACTTGGGGTTCTTAGGGTTGCGTCTTATCATCCCTTCTGTTTAATTTATATTCGGAGTCTATATTCAGAGAAGCATTAGATCAGGTACAAGGCGGAGTTAAGATTAACGGAATCAGCATAAACAACATCAGATATGCTGATGATACTGTCTTAATAGCAAGCAACGCACAAGAACTACAAAATGTAATAAATGCGGTAGTTCACCACAGCGAAATATTCGGCTTACATCTAAACGTTTCCAAAACGAAAACTTTCAAATTAGATTAGAGATTAGTCAAACGATAGAACAGGTAAATTCCATAAAATATATGGGAGCAAATATCAATAGTCAGTGTAATCCAAAAACACTATCAAGAAAGAACACTATCAACACTAGAAATACTATCAAGAATCGAACAAGCAAGGCAAACATTCATGAGCATGTAAACATTTTTTACAAGATCAGACCTTAGTCTGTAGCTTAGAATCCGAATGATTAGATGTTACGTTTTTTCTGTTTTACTGTATGGCTGTGTTGGACAATGGACTCTGAAATAGAAAAAAGAATAGATGCCTTTGAGATATATATATACAGACGAATATTGAGAATTCCATGGGTACAAAGAGTTACTAATGTTGAGGTACTTCGTCGAATGTGTAAACAAAAAGAATTACTAAGAATAATCAAAGAGAGGAAAATGCAATACTTGGGTCATGTGTTGAGAGGCGAAAAATATGAATTACTTCAAGTTATACTGTAAGGAAAAGTACAGGGCAAAATATCAGTAGGAAGACGCCAGAACTCATGGCTGAAAGACCTAAGGAAATGGTTCGACCGCTCATCCGCAGAAATCTTTCGCGCAGCAGTTTCCAAAACCACAATTGCCATTTGGATCGCCAACCTTCGAAAGGAGACGGCGCCATGTGAAGAAGACCCTTTTAACTTTACATTACTTAACAATTAATTATCTATTTTTATAGATAGGTTTGCGCAGATAGGTCCAGTACACCTAAGAGGCTGACGTTTAGACTAAAAGGTAAAGGGTAAGTTAAAGATTAACGCTGGTAGTCAGATTCAGATTATCTGACTCAGACTGTCTGACTTCGAGCAGCGGGTTGGATATGGCCATTATGAATTATGAACGCTGGTTTTCCGCGCCGACATTGCAAAGCGTTGACTGATTAGTCACGAATATAGCATGGAACTTATAAGAGAACAGGATGCATCTCTTTTGCTGCTTAGTGACAATGTTTCAACAAAGTAAAAAGCAATCAGAAGGGAAATAGATCAGTTAGGACATCAAGTGCTGAAACCAGAAAGAAACGTTCATTCGGGTAAAAGTCTGAATCCGACTGTCAGTGCACAGGTTGTCAGCGCGCTGGTGTATTTTGCTATTTTGACTAGGCCAACCTAAATACATGAAGTTATTAGCACACCGACTCGGTGAGGATCGGCGCCGATTGTATGACTCGCAAAACCAACGTAACCAACCACCTTGGTGCAATGAAAAATAGTGGTAAAAAAATTGCCACTATAAAAAGTAAATAAATATAACAATAATAAGCTAATTAATGTAAAGTCCCATTCTTATCTAAGAAGCAGATAAAAAAACGAATCACTGTCAGTCTGCATCGCAGTGTTGCCGGTGTGTGCAAAATGACCAAATGGATAAAATTGCAACAGTAATAATGAATTATAAACTTTATGAGCAACGACTGGAAGGAAAATGTGCAAAACAAAAGAAAATCGAGGAATGTAGTACCGTGCCCATCACAATAAGAAATTACGTTATATGAAATAATTTGATATTTAGATTATGTAATTATTGTATTATGTGAATATATAAAATTATGTATATTGTAAAAAACTGTAATTGTCCCTAGACTTTCAAGACTCGTTGTGCGTTAAAATAAATCATCATCATCTTTGGCTCGACAATCCTCTGTGGATCTTGGCCTGCTCTAAGATTCGTCGCCATTCTGTTCGGTTTTTGGCAACATGTTGCCATCTTCTGATTTTTAATATTCGTAAGTCGGTTTCTACTCCATCTAACCACCTAATTCGCGGTCGGCCTTTGCTTCTTGTTCCTACAGGTGTTCCTGTGGTTAGCTTTTTAGCAATGGTATTTTCTGGCATTCGTATTATGTGTCCAGCCCATCTAAGTCGCTGTGTTTTAATGAACGTTATGACATCTGGCTCATCAAAGAGCTGATACAATTCAAAATTATATCTTCTGCGCCACTGCCCTTGGTCGTTTACAGCTCCAAATATTTTGCGGAGTATTTTACGCTCAAATATTCCCAAAAGTCTTTCATCTTTCTGCGTTAATGTCCATGTTTCTGCTCCATATGTGAGGACCGGCCTCAGCAATGTTTTGTATATAATAATTTTAGTTCTTCTTTGAATGTTTCTTGAGTGGAAATGCTTTTGGAGTCCATAGTATGCTCTATTTGTAAGATTTATTCGTCTTTTGATTTCTTCGCTTGTTTTATTGGTAGCAGTCAATAGCGACCCAAGGTATGTGAAGTTGTCAACACGTTCAAAGGTATGACTTCCAAAGACTGTTTCTCGTTCCTCATTTGCTGTCGGATCCTTTGTAACCAACATGTACTTGGTTTTGTCTTCGTTGATGACTAGACCGACCTGTTTCGCCGCTGTTTCCAATTCTAGGAGATATTGCTCAACATCTCGCTTGCTACGCCCTATTATGTCAATGTCATCAGCATATGCTAAGACTTGTATCGATCTATTATAAATAGTACCGCCGTCCCTAATTCGTGTATCTCGGACTGCCTTTTCTAAGGCAATATTAAATAGGAGGCAAGCCAGAGCATCTCCTTGTCTGAGTCCATCCTTTATCTCAAAGGATCTAGAACTCTCTCCCTGTATTCTAACAGTGGCTTCTAAGTTAGACATTGTCATTCTCGTTAGTCGGATAAGTTTCTCTGGTATACCAAACTCATGCATTGATTGGTATAGCACTGTTCTCTTGACACTGTCATATGCTGCCTTGAAGTCGACGAATAGGTGATGGGTTTCAATATTGAATTCTAATGTTTTCTCGAGAATCTGTCTTATTGAATGAATCTGGTCAATTGTTGATTTTTCTGGAGTGAATCCAACTTGATATTTACCAACTATGCCCACTGTGTAAACTTGCAACCTTTCGTAGAGAATATTTGCTAGTATTTTGTAAGCAGTTGTTAACAGGGTTATACCTCTATAGTTGTCACACTGGAGCTGGTCACCTTTTTTATGTAACGGGCATATCACGCCTTGAGACCATTCACAAGGCATGGTCTCATTATGCCAAACAAGAAGTAAAAGCTTATGCAGTGTCTGTAGTAGGGCATCGCCACCATTCTTGTAGAGATCACTGCAAATTTGATCAACTCCTGGTGATTTATTATTTTTAAGCTTTTTAATGGCTTGGGCAACGTTTTCAATGGTAGGTGGTCTTTCGTTTGGGTTGAAAGGATTCCAATCATTTCGATTTGCTAGGGTGTTATCTGCTTCTTCGATATGATGGCCTTTAAATTTTGCATCGAAAAATTCAACCCATCTGTTTAGGATTGAGGCCGTATCATTTAGGATGTTTCCTTCTACATCCTTACAGCTCCTTATTCTTGGCTTAAACTCTTTGCGCATTTTGTTTAGATGTCTGTAGAACTTTCGAGTTTCATTTTGATTTCTTAGAAATTCTGTGCTTTCCAATTGCTTTTGCTCAAATTGTCTTTTTTTTCTTCTATGTAATCGTTTTTCTTCTCTTCTTAGTGTCCGGTATTCTTCCTTTGCTCTTCTTGTGCATCCAGCTTGATTTGTCTTTAGGTATGCCCTGTTTTTGTTATCTGTTGCTTCTTGGCACTCCTTGTCAAACCATTCGTTTTCTTTAACTGGTTTGGTTTTCCCCAATATTTTTGTTGCTTTCTCAGTTATTATGTTTTTACATTTTATATTATCAACATTAATTCTGTATTGTTTCGTGTGTTTATCTTTCTTTAGGTTTGATATTCTTCCTCTGATTTTTGCCATTACAAGAAAGTGGTCACTGTCAATGTTTGGGCCTCGGTAGCTTCTGACGTCTATGAGATCGGAAGAATGCCTTGCATCTATCAGGATGTGATCTATTTGGTTAATGGTTTCGTTATCAGGGGATTTCCATGTTCCTTTGTGTATCATTTTATGGGGAAATATTGTTCCTCCTACTATCATGTTTTTAGTACTTGCAAAGTTTATTAGTCTCAACCCGTTATCATTTGACTCTTCATGTAAGCTCTCACGTCCTATAGTTGGCTGGAAAAATTGCTCTTTGCCAATTTTTGCATTAAGGTCTCCAGCAATGATTTTCACGTCATGACGTGGACATCGATCATATTCTTTGTCTAAGGTGTCATAGAATTCATCTTTTTCATTATCCTCCTTTTCTTCCGTAGGTGCGTGTACACTAAGTAAGCTATAATTAAAGAATTTTCCTTTAAAATAAATATAATAAATAAATAAAAACAGGTAAAACGTTGTATGCATAATATGATATATATATATATATATATATATATATATATATATATATATATATATATATATATATATATATATATAAATTGAATATTAATAAGTGTATGTTTAACGATGATAATGTATATTATTATAAAACTTAAACTTACAGCATTAACTTCCTGTTCGTCATACCATACGTTAATATAAGGGTGTAAAAGTGCATCGTCCACAGATATCCTACTCAGAGGATCGATCACCAACATCTTCGAAAGCAAGTCTCTGGCTTGGCAAGCTTTTAGTTTGTTGTGTTCATTACTATCCGATGGGAAAAGTACATCAGGGAAGAGTTTTTCGAACGTGAATCCTGGATATCTCGGTCTGTTCTCTACATAATTTCGGACAGTTGGTTGCAGTCGCACCATGAATTGTTGCGACGGTGTGCCGAGTTGCTCTAGAAATGGATAAATATATTTATTTATATGTACTTTGATGGATAAATCCCCCACAAAGAAGCAATTGTAATTTTATAATTTTTGCTTAATAAGATTAGAATTAGAATATACTTTATTGTCACTGAAAATTGTAGAATTGTATGAAAAAAGCTTACAAAATGTCAGAAAATAACAAAAATTGAAGAGGTCGGTGCAAAAGGAGACAACTCCACATTTTTTTTTACTATTTTTGGTGTTTAATCAATGTATGTTAATGTATGTTAATTTAAAGGCGCTCTATCGATTTGTAACGAGTCCGTCACTTCAATAATCCTTAAACGTTTTTACATACAATTTTTAAATTCAAATCTTCTTAATGATTTTCTTAATTCTTAAATTTTAAGTTGGTATTAAACAGCGACACCAAGTGTCCAATGTTTGCAATCATAGTTTAGCCAACTCAAAACAAGTGCCGATTGCCCACTTCTGCTTCGACGTTCCGTAGAGACACTTGGGTTCAAAGGTAGGGGCCAGAGAAGGCTTAAAAGGTTTTTGTATTTAGAATATTAAAGTTTTTTTAAAAAGAAGTTGCAGGAAGTTTTGGTTTGGTTTTGTGTAACTGTCCTGTTGGTTTGAAGCCACTCTGAGCCGGTAAGTGTATCCAATTATCAATAAAACGAAAATATAAAAACCATCAGCCATTTTGAGATCCTATAGTATTGTCATTTTTCATTTGATTCGATATATTTATCTGAAATGTTTCCCATCATTTCGTAAAGAAATATTCAATATCTAAATCGAAAGTGTTATTGATATTAATTACTATTTATAACTGGGAATAAGCCACAATTAAAGATAAAAAATACGTTTATTGACGTTTCAGTTTCCAATTCGGAAATCGTTCTCAAAATACAAACAGTAAATTAAACAAATTTTGTTTTTTGTTACATAGTGAAAAAATTCTTCTAATAATTTAATTTTATCTGACTCATTTATATTTAAATACAAACAAAATACAAAAATACAAACAGTAAATTAAACAAATTTTGTTTTTTGTTACATAGTGAAAAAATTCTTCTAATAATTTAATTTTATCTGACTCATTTATATTTAAATGAGTCAGATAAAATTAAATTATTAGAAGAATTTTTTCACTATGTAACAAAAAACAAAATTTGTTTAATTTACTGTTTGTATTTTGAGAACGATTTCCGAATTGGAAACTGAAACGTCAATAAACGTATTTTTTATCTTTAATTGTGGCTTATTCCCAGTTATAAATAGTAATTAATTTACAATGCCACAAGAAAATAGCTTCAGAACAATGTTATTGATATAAAATCATATGTATTTAAATTTTACTTCCCGGCCTTAAAAACATAATTATCTATCTTTAAAACAATCTATTATCTATTAAGAGTATCGATAAAAATATTCTGTCTTATACCGTTCTTTATACACTCACCGGCAAAATTAACGGAACACCTTAAAAATGGGACATGTTAGATGACTCGAATTTCCTAAACCTGTTGTCTGATTTTAGTGATTTTTTTAGTATGTTATAGGTATATTATTTAAGAATATCAATGAAATAATATTGTTGCTAGACAGGTCAACGTCATTTTATACCGGGTGTAACAATCATACTGTGTTTTTTCCTTAAAGTTCGAAACACCCTGTGGAATATTCTAGCATATATAAAATATTGAAATTAAAGCTAATTATAGTCTCAGGCTTTCTTAACATTTTCTTTTTTGATTCATTTGCTTGTGTTGGATAATAAAAAAGTTAGGTACGTTAACAACTAGCCATGTTTTTCATCAATAAATGCTCATTTTCTTCTTAGTTTCACCAGCATATTTAACGGAACAACCATAAAATCTGAGTATTTTCTCTCTAGTCTATATACTGTTTAGATAATATCATAATACGAATGTTGGTGAAGTATTTTGAATTTATATTACAACGGTAGTACAATATAAAACCTGTTTAAGAAGAAATAAAACACAAAGATGTCAGACTCAACAAAATACGGATTTTAAATGCATTAACTTTATTGTACAGTCTGAACTTAAATTGTTTTTTATGCATTTTTTTGGCTTTAATATCGTGTGTTTCCCCTACGAGCCCTTACAACTGCAGTTATTCGTCTTCTCATACTTCTGATAACGCTATCGATCCCATGAAAAGGTACCACATGGTCTTGGAGAATATCTCTGATATACTTATCTGCTGTTAATGCTCCACCATCAATCACCACTAACTCTGTTATTGCTCCCAAACATATACCGCCCCACACCATAATTGAACCTCCACCAAAAGGTACGGTCGTAGTAAAATTGAAAGGGGCATTTCGTTCTCCTTGGCGTTAATACAATCTTTCTCTACCGTCGATGTAATTTACACAGAAACGGCTCTCGTCCGTAAAGAGAATTTGACTCCAGTGGTTATCATTCCAATTTTGATGTACTCGACCAAATTGTAGTCGTGCTAAACGATAATGTCTCTGGAGTCTGGGAGCTTTTATTGGCACATATGACTTGAGACCGGCTTCTTTAAGTCTCTTTCTTATTGTACGCTCAATTAAATACAAGTTTGTACTTGTTATGAACAGACAGTTAATTTGACATTTTGACATTTAAGACTTTCTTGTGACAAGGAGCTTTCAGAGCTATGTAGATATAGTCTATAAAATACAAATATAAAGAAAAATTGCATTAATAACAGGTTCCTTTAAATTTGCCGATGTGTGCATTAAATTGTTAACTTCTCATAGCCTACTTTAGGCTTGTTTTTAAACTAAGCAGAAAATGAGGATTTATTGATGAAAAACATGGCTAATTGTTAACGTACCTAACTTTTTTATTATCAAACATAAGCAAATGAATCAAAAAAGAAAATGTTAAGAAAGCCTGAGGCTATAATTAAGTTTTAATTTCAATGTTTTATATATGCTAGAATATTCCACAGGGTGTTCCGAACTTTAAGGAAAAAACACAGTAGGATTGTTACACCCGGTATAAAATGACATTGACCTGTCTAGCAACAATATTATTACATCGATATTCTTAAATAATATAAATATAACATACTAAAAAAATCACTAAAATCGGACAACAGGTTTAGGAAATTCGAGACATCTAACATGTCCCAATTTTAAGGTGTTCCGTTAATTTTGCCGGTGAGTGTATTATAAAAGATATTATTATCCATATCATGCTTTTCGTTAAAATTGTCGATATAATTAATCCATTTTACTTAAAATATTGTCAAACCATACGAAGGTCACATCATTTACAAAACCATTAAGTTTTTTTGCTTTCACACTTCATAAGTAACCTTTAGAAAACCTTTCAAGGTTCATAAACCTTGTGTTTTTTCCCTACTCTGTATCAAGAGTAAGAAAGAACTCTAAAACAAATGTTTTTTCAGCCTACCTTTGAGAGTCAAGCAGAAGTCAGGGGAAGAATATTTTGATTTTGTGTTTATTTGGTGTAATTTTTTTAAAAAGAAGGTTAAAACCTAGTCGGAGTTACACCTGGTTCCAGGGTTGATTTTTTTGATGTAGCTGTTCCCCAGAGGTTCAGATCTGACCTTATGATTCCCGGACAATTTTGAGAAATCAACGGGAAGTATCTCCCTCCTTCAAAGTATAAAATATAGTAAACCTCTATTAAGTTTATTTATTAGCTTAAATTTTTTTATATAATATTTTTTGAACGTTAAATCATACTATTTTTACTTAATAATATAAAAAAACATCATTTTTTCTAAAATAATACATCATATTTAGGGACTAAGTAGGTTGAGGTTTTAAATCCTCCCTTTTAACTCATTTGTACGGTTTCTTGTGTACACATTTAATCAGAACGTTATTTATTGATATTATATTATTATTATATATTTAAACCTTTGGACATCTATCCCTTCAGGATAGTGTCCTTATTACTTGTTAAAGACATTTAATTGAAAGCCGAAATACAGAGTTACATCTCTAGTAGGCAAGTAAATTACCTTTTTAGGTATAGTCATTAGATTTGTTCTTATATTTTATTATTGGTAAATTCAGATTATCAAGAATCAGTTGTGTGTAATCAGGGTATTTATTTTTTTTGTATATAAATAACTAGATTAACTGTACATAATTGGTGGTGGGTAGCTATAAAAAAATTATATTGTATTGTCATACTTCTTCTTTCCCAACCAAAGAAAAATAAATAAAAAAAACCATCGGAATAAAATTTTAAAATATCAGTATAAAACAAATTGTATATAGTAATTTAAGATAAGATTTAGTGTAGATAAGAATAGAAATTTGTTTGGCAAACGACATTTTTCCGTTTCCAACAAAATTATCAAAAAACCTTTGTTTAGAATTAGAAGACATTTTACCTGTAAGTTAATCTTTTCATTGTTTGTACAATCGAGTATTAAATGACCATATTCTAATCTTTTGAAATATGTATAAATTGTGTATTGACAAAACAAATTTTAAAGTAAGCTATTTAGTTTTTCTCTGAAACCGAAATTAGGCTTTTCCAAAATCATGGTAAACACAATTTGAGCTTTTGATTGGACGCTCGTTTTTGAATGGGAATATGTGAGCCGATCAGGAGAAGGGGAGAAGTTAGTTATAATTTGGTCATCGAAGGAAACAGTCGGTTGTCTCAAGACAGGGTGTGGTTCGTGAGTTGGATACCGGCATTGTGAAAAGAATTGAATAGTTTTGAAGAAGGAGATAGCAAGTAGATTAAAAGAGGTTCTTGTATCTACCGTGGGCTTTGTGAAGATTTGTGAAAGCAGTTTTATGGCATCAAGTTGACAAAAGGAGGTCCTTGTGTCATTAAAAAGTAGTTGAGTTTTTGGAGAAGTGAATCAGGTGTTTTTGGTTAGTGCAGCAGGTTTGCAGAGAAGGCTTAGGAAGGAGCCTAGGTGCCAAAAAGGAGAGATCACATCGTTGATTAGACTGGACTTTTCTGGGTATGTTCCAACATACAACTCAATAAGAAAATAAGCTGTAAGTGTTTGTACAATTGAATTTTATATCTGTGAAGGATCTGTTTGACATCATGGTTATTAGCATTCAAATTTAAGAACTGAGGTTTTGTTAGGCTAATCAAAAGTTTAAAGTTTTGTTGTTTCTTGTTTCAAGTAAAGAAAAATTTAAGTAAAATTTGTTTTCACTTAATATAAATGTATGTAGATTTAAAATCTTATTATTATAAAAATTTGATTTATTTTATAGTATGCTGATTGATAAGATAACGGCAGAATTTAATAATTGTTTTATTCGTTCATATAAAATAAAGAAACGTAATTTTTTTGTAATATAATATTTTTTTATTATTATCCTTCTTCTCTATCCCGATAAAGGACAACTAGAAAATCTTTGAATCCATCGAACACAGGTAATATAAGGAGTTTATTTTACTTTTGATAACAAATAAGTTATATTTTTTTATTGGCTCAATAAACTAAGATTAAAGTCAAAATAAACAATCATAACAGTATATATTTGGATAGGGATTAAAATGTGTGGTAGAAACTAAATATTTGAATTAATACCTGTTTCTTTACAAGATACCTTGGAAGGTATATGTTAATACTTTCCTGGCGCCCAATCACATCTTACAGCAACTTCCATAATTTACCACTTTCATTTACGTTATTTCTATTTTGTTTAAGTATCCCGTCATTCATATTCTCACTTTACTGTCTCTGTAGGGCATGCAAATTGGCCGAATCCTCTTTTGAGTGTCAAGTAGTCACTCTCCGGTACATTCTGCTAGCCAGCTGTAATTTATTTGTTTTTGTTACATTACTCCACACACTTTAATTACATTGACATCCTAAACCTCGAAGTCCACACATTTTTTGTTATAGATTGGTGGAAAAACAAGGCAGCTCCGGTAATTCGTAAGTGAAATATAATGAACAACATTCAGATGTCTCCCCATTTGATTCAGTGCGAAAAGGAGACAGCTCCGAAGCTGTCTCGTTTTTGCAATTATTAAATAATTAATATTTTAGCCGCTTTGATGCAGCACCTGCAAAATATGAAATAAGCCGGTGTGGATTGGTTGCCGTGTTTGGTTGGTTGTTATTAGTTTTTGGTTTACGTCGGCAAATCCGTACATTTTATGATATTTGAGGAGTCTGTTGAATATCGGCAAAATTTCGCGTAGTAACAGTTCAGCGATTTTAGTCATAGATGATTTTCTGTGTTTAATCCAAATGCTGAAATTTTATCACTGGTATAAAGTGATTCAAAAAGTGATAACGGCAAACAGAAACAAACAGTTGTAAAAAAACAAGTGGTCAAAAATATTGCTAAGAAAAGAAAGCTAAAAGAAAATCCTATATCGGCAACAAAAATAAAAACAAATATCTGAAAGGTGAAAGAAAAACTGATAAAAACTGTAAATTTAATGTTTTCAAAAATTAACAAAGTTTCTAAGCGAGACATTTTGACAATATTTAATGATACTGCTAATAAAGAAAAACAGGACATATTTCTTGGGAGCAAATAGTTATAAAAAAAAGTTGCCAGATCTAAACCTAAAGTGGGTAAATGCTTTTTATTCATTATATGGCGTTAGTAAGAAACGAGTAGAACTTATTATGAAGCACTTGAAAGATAATATTCCAGCACCAAAAGATATGCGTGGAAAACACAGCAATCGTCCTAATACGATACGTGAGGATATAATACTTCAAATCCATTCGCATATAGTCATTTCCCAAAAAAAATGTCGCACTATAGACCACTAAAAATAAAAACAAGTTTTATTTGTCACCTGAGGTAAATATGCTAAAAATACATAGGCTTTATCTTCAAAAGTACCCTCTTTCGTCATTACGCCTCTAATCTAGTCCCTTACTTGTTAAGCGCCCGAAATACCTCCATAATAACCGTAAAGGAATTTGCAACAAAATATGTGCCTTCTGATGTATATTGTTTTACGACCAGCTGAAGTGTCAATGTGAAGAAAAACCAACTCAGCATGAAGAAGATAGCTTTACACATGATTAATTTATCCAACGTTTTCTTTTTGATATTACATACTATTAAATCAAATTTCCAAAAAAGCATATTCTGTGAATATATTATATATAATGTACTAGAGTTTACCCTTACATAATAGCAGTCTCTACATTCGTATAGCGCAAGATTTGACAGTCCATATGTTGAATTTGATATTCCTTAAAATTTATAAAAAGAGTTTTTTGACTTGTACAACTAATCTAACTCACCTATAATTTTATTCCACTGATCTATGTGATCAGTGCCAGGAAACAGTACTCCCCCGCGGATCATTTCTCCCATGATACAACCAACACTCCAAATGTCCACATTTTCGGTATATCCCATACCTAATATGACTTCAGGCGCCCTATAGTATCTGGTAACGACGTAAGGGGTCATCATGAATGTTGTACCTGCAGTTCTTGCTAAACCGAAGTCGAGAATCTTAAGAGTACAATCTGATTTCACTACTATGTTGCTGGGTTTTAAGTCCTAACAAAAAACACAGTAGTTATTATAACAAAAAATAATAATAGTAACGCGTGATTTTCAGAGGTATAGAAATGTAAGTTGGTAACACTTTTTTAACTGTCGGTCATTTTGAAAGCTATCAAATGATTTATATTAAGGTTGGTCTGACATTTTGAAGCATGAATAGACTTGACGCCTGAACAACGCATCCCAATTGTACAAATTTATTTTGAAAATTATGGTTCTGTTCGAAACACATATCGCGCATATGTAATATGCATCCATAGACACGTCGTACAGTGCGTATAGAAGAGGTTATTGCTGCTGTAATAACCGAATTTTGTTCACCGATGAAGCTCACTTTTGGTTGAATATCTAAGTCAACAAACAAAACTACCCTATTTAGAGTTAAGATAATCCTCAAATGTATGTTAAGAAACCATTACATCCAGAAAAACTGACTGTTTGGTGTGTTTTATAATCTGGTGGAATCATTGGACCGTACTTTTTCAAAAACGATGCTGGTCAGAACGTTACAGTCAATAGTGACCGCTATAGAGCCATGATTACTGTCTTTTTCTTTCCCCAATTGAACAACCATGATGCACAGGAGCTGTCCTTCGGATAAAACGGCGCAACATGTCACACAGCATGTGTGGCACACGTGCCACAATTGATTTATTCAAGGAAACGTTTGGTAACCGCATAGTTTCACGTTTAGAACCGTGAATTGGCCTCCAAGATCATGCGATTTAACACTGATAGATTTTATGCAAGGATATGTGAAGGTACGCTTATCTACGCTGATAAGCAAGAAACAATTTTGACCACTTGGAGAACAACATTCGCCGTGGTATAGCCGATATACGGCGACAAATACTGGAAAAGTGATCGAAAATTGGACCTCCAAAATAGACTACGTTAGACTGAGTCATGATGGCCATATGCCAGAAATCATATTTAAATCATATCGCCAAAAGATTATCTTTCGAATAAAGTCATTCAATTCATTTCATGTCAATTTATAAAAATCATCTTTGTTTTATTTCGTTTTAAAGTTCTATACCTCTAAAAAAAACACCCTTTATATAGTGACTATAAAGACTCGAGTTGCACATACAATTCAATAGTTAATACCTATAAATGAGCCTACGATCGCAATAGTGGACTAACAATAAAAAAGTTAAGCCAAACAGATGCCTTACTTTCATGTAAAATTTCGTTGCCATAATAATAACCGTTTCTTTAACATATAACTAATATTAATATGGATAATACCCCACCAGCGTATACGCCCCCACCAGCGATTACGAAGATGAAATTGTCGAAGCCTTCTATGAGGAAATCGAAAGAGCAAAAAAGCAGGAACCGGCTCATTACAATCTGATAATGGGAGATTTTAACGGGAAACTCGGAAGGAAAAAAGACGAACAAGAGGTGGCAATTGGAGATTTTGGAATCGGAGTAAGAAACGAAAGAGGCGAAATGCTTACCAACTTTCTACTGCAACACAACCTGTATGCAATGAACACCTTTTTTAAGAAGAAACAGAATAGAAAATGGACGTGGGCTAGTCCAGACGGAAGAACTAAGAGCGAATATGATTATATAATAACAGACAAAAAGCAAATTATTCAAGATGTCACTGTACTCAATAAACTATCAGTAGGAAGCGACCACAGACCAGTAAGAGCTAGAGTAACGATCAATCTACAAAAAGAAAGAGCAAAGATGATAAACAGTTGTAAACGCATAGTTTGGAATTCACCAAATCATCCAGAAGCATACATAAGAAATATAGCCGAAACTTTACAGAGTAATAATCCCAAACCTGTAAGTATCGACGATCACAATAAATCAATAACAGACTCAGTTAGAAACGCACAACTCAAATTTTGCAAGAAAAATGACACCAAAAGTGAAAAGATTAGCAAAGATACAAGGGCTCTCATGGAAATACGACGAAACCTAAGCGAGAACGAAAAGGGAAACAAAGAAGAATATAAAAAACTAAATAAAAGAATTTCAGCGGAAAGTAGAAAAGATGTAAGAAGATATAATAATAATGTAATTACTCAAACAGTAGAAGAGAACAAAGGTTTAAAGATAATGAAAAGAAAACTTACGCAAAGTAAAAAAGAAATATACAAGCTGAGAGATAAAGACGGAAAGGCAACAACAGATAAACAAAACATTCTGAAAATAACTAGAGAATTTTATAAAGACCTCTATACCAGCCAAAGACCACAAGACAATTTCCCGACACGAGTAAAGACTCTCATAAATCAGGGATCGGAAATACTTTTACCCATTACTGTGTCAGAATTAAGAGCAGTTTTAAAGGAAATGAAGAACCATCGATCGCCTGGTGATGATGGACTCTTTATCGAGGCAATAAAAGCAGGTGGAGAAATTTTATTAAAATCAGTAAGCGAACTGTTTACTAAATGCTTACATGCGGGTACGATTCCAAAAGACTGGAACAATGCAGTAATAGTCTTGTTACACAAAAAAGGCGATATTACTAAATTAGAAAATTATAGACCCATCAGCCTCTTGACACATATGTACAAACTCTTTATGAAAATCTTAACAAAGAGGCTAACACCTAAACTTGATTTCTATCAGCCCAAAGAACAGGCAGGCTTCAGGGCAGGATATGGCACAAATGACCATTTGCATACCATAAAGATCTTAATAGAAAAGTGCATCGAGTACAACATACCACTGGTTTTTGCATTTGTCGATTACGAGAAGGCTTTTGATTCTGTAGAGTTTGAAACAATACTGGAAGCCCTAAATCAAAGCCGAATAGATTACAGGTACACGACACTAATCAAAAACATCTATCAGAACGCTACATCAAGTATACGACTGCACGTAGACACAGAAAAATTCAGCTTAGGTCGAGGAGTTAGACAAGGAGACAATATTTCACCAAAATTGTTCACGGCAGCTCTAGAGTCAATATTTAAGGGTACTCAATGGCAAGATATGGGCATCAATATAGATGGAGAAAGATTAAATCACCTAAGGTTTGCAGATGATGTTGTATTAATCGCAGATAACTTACATGATACAGTTTCTATGATTCATTCGCTTAAAAGTCTGTCTGAAAGAGCAGGATTAAAGATAAACTTTGAGAAAACTAAAATTATAACAAATCTCGTAATGAGTGGAAATATAACTATTGACAATAATACCATACAACAAACAGACACTTACAAATATCTGGGACACGAAATCAAAATAAGCAGAGACAATCAAACACATGAAATACAGAGGCGAATAGGTCTAACATGGGCAGCATTTGGCAAATTAAGCCATATTCTAAAAAGTTCAATTCCCATGTGTCTCAAGCGAAAGGTTTATAACCAATGTGTTTTACCTGTACAAACTTATGGAGCAGAGACTTTAACACTCACGCAAAAATCTGCGAATAAACTTAGAGTTACACAACGAGCCATGGAACGTGCAATGCTGAACGTGAGCCTTCGAGACCACATAACAAACCAACAAATCAGGCGAAGATCAGGAGTTCAAGACGTCATCGAAAGAACCACGACGCTAAGTGGAACTGGGCACGGCACTTAGCCAGAACACAAGATGGACGGTGGACAAGACGTATTATGGAATGGAGGCCCAGAAATTATAAAAGAAGCCGAGGACGACCACCGACTAGATGGACCGATGACATTAAACGTGTAGCGGGAAACTGGCTACAAGCGGCCCAGTGTAGAGAACACTGGAAAGAACTGAGGGAGGCCTATGTCCAGAAGTGGACGCGATTGGCTGATTGATGATAATGATGAATATGGATAATATATCTTATGGCAAGTGTTATTGGTTTTGTTATAACAATAATATATTTGAAGGTTCTGTACGTGAAAAGAAAAAATATTTTTTCAGAGCAATACCGTATAACATATGAACTTGTGTTCTTTTAACCCTTTCACTCCTGATTTGTTTATTTTACAATTTGATATATTTGTCTAAAGTTTGTTGTTCTAGGGCATTTAAAAGAACTAAGAATGTATTTAATTTTTTTTTGTAAAAAATGCATGAGATTATAGACAACAATAGTATTTTTGTCCAACAGTAAACATAAACGATAAATGTTTATACATGATATGGGGTAAAACAATCGCTACATAACGGAACATCACACACACTTACTTACAAATAAATTTGGTACGTTTATCTTTCTTATGTTGTGTACACCTTATACACCTCAAGCGACTGGATTTTCCTAATATACGTAAATGGTCGCCAACATTACTAATCACTGTGGCTGACATGCTTCGGCGGCCAACATGTTTGGTTTTTTTTCTTCTATGGAGTCCTTGTCGGCCAGTACTACTAAGAATATCAGCTAAGTCAACCAGATAATTTAGAAAGGGTATTTTCTTATTTCTGGTATGTAACTCAGTATATAGAATATATGAATTGTATACTGCCATCATTAGAACTTTGTAGTAAACCTTCTTTGACCATTTTTGATATTTTCTATTGAGATCATACACAGATGTCATTTGATCACATCTATCTACACCTCCCATGTAACGGTTATGGAATTCCGATACAAGACAACAAAATGTTGGCTTTTGTACCATCTTTCAGTTTTTTACACACAGTTGTTTCTTCTGGCTTATGGCAGTTAGTACAATAAAATCTTTTGTGTCCTGCCATCGTATAGCTAATGTTCCAGTTTCATTACCTTTTACTTGTGATTCTCCTCGATTTAGCTTGCCATGAAATTTGGGTAAATTTTTTCGGGTACTCATGCATGTATCGACAGCAGGAAACTTACAGGTATCCATAAGATAAACTGTAAAAAATCTGTTGAACCTGCCATCTTATTAACATTTTTGCCTGCATACACATTTATATCGTAAAGATAGCCAGTTTCCGATTCGCATCTTGTCCATAACTTTATGACACGTTTTATGGGTTTGAGGGGCATATACTGTTTCAATGTAGATCGCCCTTTGAATTTTGCCATCGATAGAATCACTTCTAGC